CTTTCCTGAACATTTTGGTATATAATTCATAGGAATTTGTTAAAATTTAGAACAGTATTTTTGCTGATTTTATAAAAGCTCATACTATCTCTTTGACTATACATTCGCCTCTTATGGTTTCTTAGGTTTCGTAGCCTCGAAAACACGCTAACTACGGTAGTTAGCTAAAGAACAGAAGATTTACGGGTCATTTAAGATGTTTTGTCACGCAGTTTACTTGTGCTATATAACTTTACTTTTAAGAACAACCTTTTGCTTTGGAAAGAGAGGAAAAAGACCGAAAAGAGCAAATATTCAAAATGTATAGGCAATTTTTTCCAATGCAATGCAAATGGCCTATAGTCAGTTATCAATAAACCCTATCCAGTCCCTTTAGAGCGTTTTCACTCACGYGAGAAGGCAGCCATATTGGTGTGCCAAACAATAGAAACTTTCTGCACAGTTTTTGCTCAATTCTATTTCCCGGAGAATTGAAAATGTATTGTTGGTAACAAATATATAAGTTGGTAACAATGTCACAATAAATAATGAGTTTTATATTGTTATTTCAATGGTGGACAAGTTATTATTTTTCGCTGGTCAATTTTCACAGCATCTATGGCACCTCAGTTTTACAGTGACGTCATTTCTACGTCACTATTTCAGATCAGGTGGATGCGTGGGTAGTAACAGCATTAACTCATGTCTGAGTCGTATTTAATGTCACCAACATTGACTACACCTACTTGATGATTTTAATCATCAATTAACTTATTTTATAATTAATCTTATTGTCTATGAATTCCAATTTGCGGCCCAATTCAGCTGATTCTCAAGAAAAAGTATCTTTTCTGATAAGCAACTCAAAGTACAGGCTCATTTCATATCATAGAATTAAGCGTATGTATTATAATCATTGACAAAAACCGCTTCTAATGATTTCGAAGCGGTCAACATTGTTTACTTATCAATAACTAACGTTAACTAACTTAGAACCATATTTAGTTTTTTTTCAAAAAGATTTCATTAGTTTTCAATTATAACGAAGCCAGAAACACGATAAAGCAGTTCGCGCATTTTTTCTGGAATGTCTAGTATTTAAGTTATTTCAGAAAGATTAGATCTTTGGCATTCCAGTAGAATCCTAAGTAGTTTTACTGTCCAAAGTCCTACTTGGTTTTTGTAGGACGGATAATTTTACCTTTATTTTGTTTATAAATGCATTAAGGAACTTTCAAATCAATAATGCTCAATATTTGACAGGTAACGGTGTGGAACARATCGAGGAGTCAAATATCAATTTCAAGAGTGTTATCAAAGTTATAACGAGATTGCTAATGTCGCTAAGCGAATTCAAAACAAAGCTATTTTTAAAAAGCCTAAAAACTACAAATTGAAATATTTCTTAGTTTTCACGGAAAAAAACGATATCATATTATCCCATTCAAAACCCATAGTCATTGGTTGGGCGCATAAACACTTTTTTGATGCGATTTCATCGTAACATTATTACGCAATAGTTTCATTTTAGGCTCAGGTGCGCGCTTGGAGTTTCTTTGCCTGAATGTTATGTAAAATCTACCAAACGTTGTTGCTACAAAACTGTAAACAGTCAGAGATTGTTGGAAGGTTATTGGCTTGAAATTCAAGTCAATTCGCCCTACATTCTACAACAAGATTTGTAGAAAAGTATGCATGTTTTTTTTCCAGATAACGTGCGTTATCGTAATTAATAAATATTTGCTTATCATTTAAGTAACTTCTTCCTGACTTGATACATCGAGTAGATTGGTATCAAAACTCGTGAATATCGTATTTCCAAGCATCTTGTATTGTATGACAATGCGAATGACCACATTGGACATTATAGCCTCGTCTCTTGCAGATATTTGATGCAGTTTTGTTCGACTTTGTCTTTCGATTTACTCACATTCAATGCTTTTTCCAAGCCAATTTCTTTAGATAACTTGTTAAACAGTCTCTCAGCTTCCAGCAAACACGATTCACCTTCTTTTAACATATTATTATTATTACTTTTACAATGTCCACTGTCAATTGGTGTTTTACCCTGCATCGCGCTGCAATTGTTCATTGACGATTGTGGAGTCGAATTATTTTTTGTACTGTCAGATGTTTGCAAGTGCGCTTGGCACGTCTCGTCGAATGAATTCGATGTCCCCTCAGCTGTACTCCACTCAGTTTTTCTATACGACACCGTCTTGTTCTTTTGTTGATAGTTTTCTTTGGGGTGTCTCCGATTGTTACCAGCGTTGTGTCTACCCTGGAATACTGTCAAAGAACGCTTGAGATCCCTTTGATGTCGCTTCCCACACCTGCATCTAAGAATCGACTTGAAAGCCATTCTGAAGCTCCCATTACATGCGCCATAGATAACAACATTGAGAACAGAGTTGGTATAGGTAAAAGCCCGACAAACGAAAGCTACTAAGTCAATATGCGATGAGAGCAACTCTGGATCCCCAAAATCATACAGAATCCAAAGAATCTGGTTAGGAAGCATAAAAATGAGGAATATCGCTACTATGAGTAAAAACATCTTGACTGTCTTCTCATTCTGTTCTTTGCGTCTCTGTATAGACATTTGCCTTCGGTTGACTATATTAGAGCTACTGAACGAATTGTTTGAAATCTCGCTAGTTGTTTTCATGTTTTGGGCTGATGATAAGGGCATCTTCTCTCCACTCAGTTTGTTCGCTACTCTTGTACTGTTATACAGCAGTAGGCCTAGTCTTATGTAAATGTACGTCATAATAGGCAAGGGAATAGCGTACTGTATGCTAAACAAGAACACAGTATACGCCTTCCTGTATTTAAGACTAGGCCATTCTTCACCGCATTGCGGTGCGTATTCTGGTTTGGGGTAGTATTTCAGAAACACCGTGTACGGAACGACAGCCAACGCAGCGAGAACATACCCCAGGAAAATTATAACGAAGCATTTCTTCTTGGTGATTTTGTTCCCGAAGTTTAACGGATGCAACAAAGCCCCATATCGGTCACCTGAGATCGATAGCAACGTGAAGACAGCTGCAGTAGTCGAGAATGTCGCTAAGGGCCACAGGACCTTACACATAAAACCTCCGTAGGGCCAATAACCAAGTTCTTCAGAAGCAAGATCAAAGGGTATGCTAGAGATCGTTGTTATAAAGTCACAAGCTGCAAGATTAGCGATGAAAATGTTGGGTACTGTCTTTAACCGTTGGAAGAGTAGAACTGAGAGTATTACCAAAGTATTTCCTGTGATACTGAAGAACATTATCGGCAGATATACGCTCATTTTGATGATATGAAGTTCATCATCAACGATACTAACAGTGATGTTTGAGTTTTCTTCGCTTGAGATGGCGATGATTACCGAGGAATTCATCTTGTAAGACATGTCCTCAGCAGTTCMACTGGTAAATGTTTATAAAACACTCTTAATCACCACGTCAACCATGGATCATTCATACTGGATAAATAGATGCTCATTACTGTTTGTATGCAGATATGGCAACCGTCCTATGTAAAAAATGAACAAGAAAGTGTTAATACATGCAAGATGTTATGCGCCACTTATGCATGAGCCGAAAATAATAAAATGTCTACCTTTTCGATCGAGCTCTTTATATACGTCAGCTGCAGATGAAGCTAGGTAATAACTTTTTAATATTATTATTTTTTATCATTCATTAATCAACAGATTGAGGTGATATTTTCAAATTCCGCTTTATACCTCTTGCTATCAAAACAAGTTATCTGTTATGGAGTGTCTTAGATATCCAAGAAATCTAAAACAGAACTCAGCCTGGAACCTCAAAAAAAAAAAAAAAAAAAAAGATATGAATTTTGTGATTTATCTGTTTGATCTAGAGCTTTTGAAGACAAAGTTATGTTGTTTTATAAGGGATTCTCTCAGACAATAAATAGTGCTAATTAGATATGTCGTTAGATCGAATATTGTGTCTTGGCCTTTTACATAAAAGATACCGTGCTCTGCTGCTTCTATTGTTGATGTCTAGTTTCCCCGCCGTGGGAAATGAAAAAAGAAACTTGCCTCGGTTAGCATTCGTCTTAGGGTCAAAGTTAGYCCGTCCCTGACTTAGATTAGCCTAAGAAAGAGGTTGTTTCATGGTTCGAAGTGCGACAGTAGCAGTGAGTTAGCAGTGCCTTGACTTAGATCAGCCCAGAGGTTTTTTTGGATCCAATCTGTGAGGTTAGCCATGGCCTGACTTAGATCAGCCTAGAGGTTGTTTCAGTGTTCGATCTGACTAGACGACCTTAGACCAGCCCAGAGGTCTTTTCAAGGTTCGACAAAATTTGAAGATTTTCAGACGGCTTGTGTCGAAACACTTAAAAAATATATCATCCAATATGAACAAAAAAAAAGCAAAGATATAGACCGAAAAAAAATCCCCCTCGTTCTATTTTGGGACGCAGCATTCAATGATAAAACACGGTGAAGAAAATCAAGATGTCAAACTTCTACTATAAGTGTTATCTAGAGTCTCTGTCGTCAAATTTAAACGTAAAAAAATGACATTAATTTCATTACCAAACTTCGAGCGACAAAACCAAGCAGTTCTCGTCGTTGTTAGGGTTACTGAGTGATGGGAAAGGAATGTGTCTTGCTATATTGTGTTGTACACCGAGACAGTAAAGCTCTACTCAGTTTAGTTTATTTACTGAAACTGAATGCCGGGCGCCTTCAGGAGTTCAAATTAGACTCTTGAAATTGTTGTAGTGCTAAGGATTATGGGACCATTGCTCATAGTCTATTTGTTCGTATAGAATATTTCAAARCGCGAACCATAATTTATAGGTCTATGTAGACATTAAACTAGTTTAAATAAAACTAAAAATCTAGATTACTAAAAGCTATAAACGAATGAAAGCTAATAATTTGTGTTAACTGAAAAGGCTAATCTTCAAATAGTTAAAATCTCCTTAAGAACACTTTTCCATATTTTATGAATTAAATTAACTCTCCTAAGAATAGATGTTATATTCTATATATGGCTATCTTTTCTCGTCATATAGTATGGAACGCCTATTTAAACACCGCGTGTTTTGTGGTATCAAAATACAAAAGGGGGAAGGATGGAGAAAGGGAGGAAGATATAGAAGATTAAAGGGAAAGGGCGAAAAGAATAGAACTATGAACAAATTAATGGTGGAAGTTTTGTTTTATTTTTATTCTTTATTTTTTGGTTTTATTTTAGTTTTTGTTTTGTTTTGTTTTTTCTTTTTTCTTTTTTCTTTTTTTCTTTATGTGTGTGTGTGTGTGTTTTTTTTGTGTGTGTGTGTGTGTTGTGTTATTTTTTCGCTAATCTCATCATTGTCAAAGGTTAACCAGTTAATATTAAGCTTTCCTAAGAGACTATCGGCTTTCTAAGTTGTATTTCAGTGGCTTGGTTTTTCAAAAGTGAGGGTCACAATACGGTTACTCAAGTGGTTAGTCTTTGAATAGGAGATCAAAAGCCCTGAGACTTTGAGTCGAGAAATGACAGAATTGAACGTGCAAAGCTACACGTATGCAAAGCTACACGTATAAAGAAAACACTAGAAAGAGAGAAATCCTCTTATTCTTCTATGAATAGAAGCGGCAAAGCATCGGTACCAAATCGGCTATTTTTCATTCTTTTACCTTCACAGATAAACGATAAGATGACAATCTAGATCTTACTTTCCTTCGTATAATTTCGCTTGGTCAAACTTACAAGCCTCAAAATCTTTTAGGGTTATATTTGTGGCAAATTAAAATATACGAATAGAAAGTCTTTGAAATTTCTCAAAAGTCAGTAAATTGAACACTTTAAACTTTAACTTACTTGAAAACGTGACGGTTGGTTAAGATCACAGGAAGCCGTCTAATTATGTAACTTTTTGAAATCGAGCAATTGTGGCCCGTCAAGATTGGATGCGCACGCAACCTTGAGAAAACGGCCTATTGAGCTTTGACTTGATAATTTTTTTTCTACTTCAACCTATGTTTTACTCTCATTACTCTTTAGGAAAACATGGTTCCGAAAATTGAAGCTAAGATTTATTAGCGAAAATACTGTATTCAAATTGGTCGCCATATTTCGATTGGTGCATTACGACCTTGCACTCAACAAATTACTCGATTCTGATTGGGCAAGAGGAGTACAATTAAATCTCAAATCGTACTCTGTATAGTCCCAATTAAGTTGCTCAATTTTGTTGAACGTACATATAAACAAAAAATTACACAATCTTTCTCGTACAATTCTGAATTTATAGATACTCGTGATGTTTTGAAATTTCTAGTCAAATTGGACTCGCCTGAAGGCTTGTCAAATCTTGAAGACTTTAAAAACATCACTCTTACCTATAAATTCCGAATTGTACTCGAGAAAGTACGATTTCCAATACAAAATATAATTATAGAAACGTAATATTTGGTGGAGGTATATATAAATATATWTTTTTCTTCTATAAAAATCCGTTAAATAGGTTTTAAGTACATATGAATTTTAACTTTTCGTGTAAAATTAATTTTCGTGCAATAACAATAAAGCTAGTTTAATTAACTTGAGGAAGCTTCCTCAAAAATGCAAAACAAATAGAAAAAAAAAACAACATTTCAATCTTCTATTTGTAGTCTGACTTTAGTGGTATTATTAAACGCGCTACAAGTTTCAGCAATATTTTGAAATTGTGCCAATACCTCGATGACTCGTAGGATAAAATAGATAAAATGTTTATAGTTTCAGAATTCAGTTTATAAAAATTTCAAAAATTTCAGTTTTATTTTAATTTTTTTTCTAAAAATTTAAAAAACATTCCCAAAAACGTAAAACATCTTTTTTTAATTTGTACCTCATGCAACGAAATGCATGTACAAATATCAGTGTTTTGTTTTTATATTAGTGTGGGAACATGGCGTAACTGAATCTGTGAGAGAAGTATGACTTAATAAAAATAACAGCGAGCTCAACACCAAGGGTACTGAATTCTCATCGACCACAAGGGAAAAAATGCAAGTCTTGTAAATACTAGTGATTTTGAATTTAAAGAAAAGTATTTACTATCTTTAATATTGGCTATTGAAATAAGACATGACCAACCTGATTTTGGCTGCTAAAAGACTCTCGCTCATCTGTCGCTCGCTCGCTCGAGCAGTATGTTCAATAACGCTTTCGTACTACAGATACAGATTCGTTTCTTCAAACAGATGTATTTTGAGCCAGAATATGCCAGTTAGTTTTAAGATCATATCATCAATTATCTCGAAATGTTACTCTTCGAGTAAACAATGTAATATGGTTTTCGTCTTTTAATAAATTTTTTTTTTTTTTTTTTTTTTTTTTAAAAAAAGTTTCATCGTACAAAAACTGACATTAGCTACTCGAAAAGTGCATTTGCGCCCATCATAATACACACTTGTTTCTTTTTCATAAGAAGTCCTGTTTTCGGCGACGAAAGAATTTCTGTCTAAAATTAGCTGCTACTTAGCCGATCTACTACTACTACTTGTCATCGCTTATCACCACCGCAAGTACAGCAAGTGGCGCAGCTCAACGGGGTCGAACTGATAGCATGTGAAGGCGCCTCTGGCAGCCGCTATACAGTCCATGTATGATCCCGGAGCACAGTTCTAACCAGTTTGAATTAGTTAGGGTTAATTTGAGAGGAGGGAGGAAAAACCGGAGTCAGAAAGTTAGAAAGAGAACAAACCAACTCAGCTCACATAGGGCGAGTGGGATTCTGAGAGGCGAGCGTTTTACCACCACGCCATCGTGGCTACTACTGCTACTACTACTCTACGAGTTTGAGAAGATTTGAGGTCAAATGATGTATGTCACAAATCAAAAAAATCAAAAGAATCCAAATCAGGACTTGAGAACAATAAAGATTGAAAAGGATGATAAATTTTAGTTAACAGATTATTTTCTTTGTAGGATTTAAGCTATATTAACCACAAAAGCTAAATGCAAATAGAAAAAAAAAAACAACTTTAGCTACACATTTTGCATAAAAGCAAAATATGACAAGAAATAATATAAATAATATAAATAAAAGAAAAAGTCAAAGAGAAGAAAAATTGCTATTTTTTACATACCGTTACCAACATCAAAATGTTCATTTATAGATGAACTACAAATCTTTTGTTTTGGAAATAACAATTCTTACGAGAAATGATACGTGGAATGGTATGAGAACCCCAAGGACTTACCTTGTCTTAATTTTTTATCAAGTTCAAGGAGTTTAAAAATAAGAATTGTACACTTGTTAAAAATTACGATCTGTAGCTAAAGTTGTATGTTTTTAAGGTGCTATTTATATATTTCATAATAAAGAAGAAGAAAAACAAAAACAGGAAAGATAAGACTGAGGAAAAATTGTAAAACAAAGGAAAAGGAGGAGATAAGCATGAGATGAAATGAAATGAAAATGAATTGAAATTAAATAAAATGGGAAAAATTGATGAAAAAAAAGAAAAACCAAAAGATTAATATGGAAAGAGAAGAGAAGAGAAGAGAAGAGAAGAGAAGAGAAGAGAAGAGAAGAGAAGAGAAGAGAAGAGAAGAGAAGAGAAGAGATTATGTTCGCCGTCGGAGGTCACCCATGTAGCGTACAAACCTAGACAACCGGGCTTGACTCACGGTCTCAAAAAACAAAGTTTTTCCACTGGACTACATGGTTTAAAAAATTAGCACAACAATAAGCTTTGAAAATGATACGTCAGATACACTCTATATTTTTTCACTTCAAATCAATGTACCTAGAGCGTGGTAGGTTGTGCAAGGGATTAGCTGTAGATATGGTCTGGGGACCGGCTAGTCTCTCCCCTAATGCCTTCGGGCTAGAACAGTTTCCTTCGTAATGGCCGTACAAACAAGGGCAGAAGGCCTTAATTGCCGTCAGGTCCGAAGTCCATACGAAGCCTCAGCTCTACGGATGTCTCGGGGCTATGGCATTGTGGTAGGTACATTTTGGAATTAATTGACCTAAACGTTTCTCTGTAGACGTGAAATAGACCCCTTTCGAATTCCAAATTACCGCTGTGTTTCTTGATTACAGACTCATGTGCACAGGATTAGCCTCGAGTTTGTGCAGAATATTCACGTGTTCCAGTCAAGGTCCGTCGAGTTTCAAAATGTTTGTATTGTTGAAGTTGTGCATTCTTTACTTTTCTGTTGGTATTTGTGAATATTTAAACACTGATACGAGGCTAACCCTGTGCAGATGAGTCTGTAATCAAGGAACACAGCGGTAATTTGGAATTCGAAACTGGTCTATTGATTCCCCTGCAACGGGATAGATTTTTTTTCCATCTTGTTTTATTCCATTAGTTTTGAATAGGTTCGGTGAGTGCATAAATATTAGTTTTAAAGAAGAGAGCATAAGAAGGTCGGAAAAAAAGCTGAGGGAAAAAAATGAAAAATGAAAAAATTCTGGAATAAAATAGAAAATAGAAAAGAAACAGAACAGAAAGGGCGTAAGGTGTGCACAAACAAATATCGCCAACGCATTCTCTTCGTAAAGGATTGAAGTATTAAATCAAAACTAATGGAAAATTAATCTAAATAACTACCTCCACAAACAGAATTCAAGTGACATCCGTTTTCTATTGGATTTGTGAAATATTTTATGGCGCTGAGTTGTAATAATAGTAACGAAAGCCCAAAATACATAGATCTTAAATTAGTGAGTCATTGTGAAATAATTGCACAAAAGAAAAATATAACTAGAATAATTAACAGAATCGAAACGTTTTCTGCATTTATTTCATATTTTTTAAACTGTTCCATGCTTTCGGTCCCATTCGCCCATAATCAGGGATTAAATGAAAAGACATATCTCTCTAATGAAATCTTGGATATTAAAATATAGAAATATAAGTAGAGGAAACTTTTTGCTTCTGCGAACCACGCATTATAGCTACGTACGACATAACCAATGCAATAAAATAATTTTGAAATTTGAATTAATGCCGCCCACAAAAWTTATCGTCAATTATGCTACACAAAGTAAAGCACTGTGGAAATATTGTGAAACTGAAACAAAGTTTCTACAATAACTATATCAGACAACATAAAGGTTTTTGTTTCTAACACTATGTTTAAAGCAACTTAACAATTTTTATAATTTTTGAGCCTTTCATTAATTAAAAGTCAGACTAGTATAAGGCAGACTAATATATATGAGGCAGTAATGATGGCCACGTTACGGAGATCAACCATGCAGTTTTGTTGCGTTTAAAATCGGATGAAAATAAGCATTATGTATTGCATGAAGCAATATTTTCCAGATATAGTTTAAAAAATGGATAAATTTACTGACAGGAATTAGTGTTGGTGATCAAAATAATATACAATTATTTCATAACAGGATAATTAATGAAAGTCAGTTAGAATAGCACTTTACCAATTAGATGAATATTTGCATCCAATAGTGAAGAAAAGTATGTATGGCTGCATAAGCTACAATTTTGCCTATTTATTATAGTTAAAATATATTGGTTTAGAGACGTGACTTCTGAAGATCATCTCTCTCTGGAAATTAAAATGAATTTATTGTCACAAAGCGGGTTCGAAAAAAATTCTCACATGAATTTTAGTTATTCCAATCTCCTTCGACATAGCTCTAGATATGGCTTCATCAAGATCATTTTTGCAGAGTTTTGTCCAAAGAAACTAACTTACCATGCATAATAGAGGTTTTCTCTTCATTTACTACGCACAGAATTTTTAATCCAAGACAAATCAAAGTGGCGATTGTTAACACATAGCAAGCTTATACCCTACAAAGTGCTACAAGACCACATCAGCAACGCTGTAAGACTTATCGTGTCTAAATAAATATGCCACGTATGAAGAAAAAAAATATGKGGTACTAAGGCCCCGTCTACACGTATCCGCAATTTTTTGTATCCGCAAATTTTTTTGGCGGATCAGTACGAAAATGTTTGCGTCCACACGCAGCGTATTCGAATCGTTTTCACCGTCCACACGTATCCGTTTTCGTAAAATTTGCGGATACGGATACAAAAATTTGCGGACACGTGTGGACGCAACCCGTATCCGCAAAACTAATTTGCGGATACAAAAATTTCCGGATACGTGTGGACGGGGCATAAGATAAGAACTTACCGTTTCGACTGATGCCGAGATATATGATATGTATCCTCGGGAACCCATAAGGGTAAAGTTCTGCCTAGGTCTAGATTCAGAGCTAAAGCAGTTTAATACCATCTCCCGCGTGGTTATCATAAATTTTAAAATATAATCACGTTCAAATTAATACCTAAGGTCTAGGTCATAGATGCCCTAAAAGGTTAGGGGAGGGGAAAGGAGGGGAAAAGGCGGAGAAGATGTGGGAATGGGGAGCAGAAGAACAAAATGGTTACTAAAGTAAGAACGGAAAATCGTATCGAAAATTTTGCTTTTGAACATATATTGGTTGAGATCCGTTCAATTATTATTATTATTATTATTATTATTATTATTATTATTATTATTATTATTATTGCTCGTTTGCTCGTTTGCTCGTTTGCTCGTTTGCTCGTTT